GAATTGTGACAGGCAAAACAGAAACTGTTAAACTGACAAAGAGAAAAAACCTGATTTTACTCACACAATCAGGAAGTTGTGTTCTCCCTATATTAAAGCTGCTATACAGTCTGACAAAACGTCCTGCGTCTGCGCAGAAACATTGGGTAGGATGTTTTTCAGGTAGGATGGATTCCCAGAACACCTGTTTCCAATTAAAGAGATGTATTTCCTTTCCAGATAAAACTAGTTTTTGCCTAGCCTCTTGATAGACAGACATGCACAGTAACGGCCTAACTTCTGCTTATGGGAAAGAAACACGAAAACCCGACTGTAAACGTTTGTACACAATATAGTAGCTATAGGTTATTTTTTTGTCATGTATCATCACTGAATTCATTAATTTCAACAAATAAATATTATTTTGTAGGATTCCTTAAGGACTCCTGTTGGAATGTGAAGGAGGGCAAAGATTACTATACGTTTTGTTATATGTATGTGTATATATGTATATGTGTATATGTATATGTATGTATATGTATGTTTATATATATATATAAAACTGCATGTTCATTCAAAGTTTTATCAGCTTTTCCTCCCGATAAGGACAAACTCCCACAAGACTATAGAAAAAAAGCATTTTGTGTGAATTAACAAAAGATACCACAGCTTTTTATGTCATTCTCCACATTTATTCATTTGTGCTGAAATGATTGTTTTCATTTGCAACAGCAGCATTTCTTTATCGTGCAGAATAATATAAACGCGATACAAATTCTAGTAGTTATGAAATCAAATATTTCAAATCAACAGCAAGTGCGGTGTTGCAAACAAGTAAAGTTAGCAAACATAACTTTAATCTTTATTAATCCTGTCAGATTACAGTACGCTTCCTGGTACAGTTTCGCTGCAGTAATTCAAGATGTGCGGTAATTCTGGGTCTTTATGAAGGCGGAGACAGGAATACGGTAACAGGTGTTACTGCAGGAAGTTCACTAAAAAAATAAACTGTAACCACTCAAAGAGCTATCTGAAATTATTGTGACTACTTAATGTCAAAGATGCTTCATGAGCAAATGCTGTTTCAAGTTGCAAACAGAAACAGACAAATTTGTCCTGACATATCCATCTGAGCCTGTGTGAGAAAATCAGAAAGTGTTCAAAGGCATAAATTAAAATGTGTAAATAGGAGTACTGGGACTAAAAACATGCTGTATGTTTTGTTTGATTTAAAATCCACTTTAGTAGTGTAGAGAGGTAAAATGTGACAGATAACTTATGGACCTAATTACAAAGCGCTTTTCTACTCTGAGCACTCAAATTGCTTTTTACAACCCTCATTCGCCTATTTACACATTTTGTCCTATGCTTTTAAACCCCTGAAGTTCTGACTCATTTACCTTTTACAAATTTACACAGCCACCTCTTAAAAACCTAAACTCTCGTGTAAACATAATAAAGTTTATCACCAAGCCATAACCCTGAAATCTAACCACACCTGAAGGGAAATGGATACTCCTTCCAGGAATCAGCTGTAATAAATATGTGTGGAACAGGTTAATTTTCAAGAATAATGAATGAGCCCATTGTTGGGCTTGAAAACAAAAACCACTTTGATTATGTGAAATTCTTACCATCATCTTCATTACAGTCCAAAGACAACAAGTCATTGTCCATTGCCTTTGTTGCACTTGAACAACAACGCGAGTTGGTCTCATGTTCACATTTTTTCACCAGGAAGTAAGAGCCAGTAGTTGTGCAAGATCAAGATCTTGTTCAATTCTTGAGCCAGCAGGATAAATACCAGCGTAACCGTCCCAGCCACTATCAGTTCCGCAAGC